GTTCTTCCACAGAGCAGCGGTTCGCCGTTCCGGGTTACGCAGATTCGGTGGCGACTCGGTGGCCCCGACCAGAGACTGAAGTCTCTGGCGCACACGCGCCGCCTCCGGTGTATCCGGATATTCATCTAAAAAGCTCTGGTACACCTTTTTGGCATGCGCGTGCTGCCGGTTACGCTCGCGGGAAACACCCAGCTTCTCGAGCGCTTCAATCCGCAGCGCGGGATCTTTCGATGCCTTGGTGTACAGCGAGATGGCTCTCGGCCAGTCTTTATCGGTATAAGCTTTTTGCGCCTCATCGAGCAAAGCACGGTCGAGATCTTCGACAAACTCGACACTGGGCTCAAACTCAGGCGTGTCTTCAACAATTGTATCCGGCGTCACCGCTCGTGCCGCTAACGCAATCTGCGGCTTCACTTCTGCAGCCGGTTTGTTGCTGCCCGGGAATAAACGCAGCACGCTGGCAATCTCGTTTTCCTGGGCCGACACGGCCACAATTTTTGCGCTTGGGAAAGAACCACGCACCTGTCTCAGCGCAACAGCCGCTGCGGTTTCTGTAGCGAAAAAACCAATTCGTTTATTCGAGCGACCCACAGGATCAGTGTAGATAATCTTGTTACGCACAAGGTCGATTGGCAGAGATCTGCTGGTAAGTAACTTATCTACACTCACCTCAACCACATATTGGTCTTTGCTTGCTCGACTGTTTTGCTGTGCGAATCGCGACAACACTCGATCTGGTATGAAAGACAGCCTCACACCCATTGTGTTGAGCTGCGGTTTAGCCTCAACGGTATAGCCTGGCTGGGTGTTAAGTGTGATCTGCACACCGGCCTTTCTTGAGCCTTCAAGTTTTACCTGCTGGATGACCCTGCCATCCTCTTCAAATTCCAACTCGATAAATTGCCAGCCCTGATCCGTGACTTCGACAGCAACATCTGCGCTTGCCTGAAAAACACCATCGCTGATCTGTACAAATTCGCTGGTCAGAACCAGGGGCACACCAAATCGAGCTGAGACGTCCACAATATCCTGCGACTGGGAGGCTTCACTTATACCGGTCAGCCAGTTTGCCGCATGAGCAGATGACGTCACCCAGCTGCTGATCAGGATCATCAGAAAAACAAACAGATTAACGTTCAGCCGATGCGTCACCATTCGCTATCGCTCACGTCATGGCAACCGCTGCCGGAACAATCCCGGTCCTGATCAATGCCGTTGTGATCGTCTTCACCCGGCTCATAGTCGTTGAAATGACAGCCTGCACAATCCGGTTGATAGGCGGGCGCCGGCCAGTTAACCGTTTCCGAGTTACCCGTGTGACAATCCGTACAGGCCAGATTATCTCGATGATCCAGCGGCTCAAACGTCAGGGTTGTGTGGGCAAAGGTGTCCGGCACCCAGAAATCTCTGGTATGGCAGTCGTCACACTCTGCCGTCGTGATGAAATGGCCAGGGTTCTGCCCGGTTGCTGTCACACCATCGTGACATTGGCTGCACGTGCCCGGCGCAACGCTGGCATGGTCAAATTGTGCGGGCAGCCAGGCCAGGGTTGAATGACAATCGTCACATTCCGCATTGGTTTGAATGTGGTCTGCTGACTTACCGGTTGCCGTCATTCCATCATGACACTGGGTGCAGGTACCCGCCGCAACGCCTGCATGATCAAACACTGCCGGCACCCATGCATCGGTTGTATGGCAATCATCACATGAGTCACTGCTTGGAATATGTTGTGGGTTTTTGCCTTCAGCAAAGCCGCCGTTATGACAGCTGACGCAGCTGCCAATCACCTGGGTGTGATCTACCGTCACTGCGGGGTCCCAGAAATTTACAGAGTGACAGTCCTCGCATATGTCGGTTGTTATCATATGGTTGGCATTCTTGCCTGTAGCATCAACGCCGTTATGGCAGCTGACACAGCCCTGGGTAATATTGCCATGGTCAAACTCAACCGGCGTCCAGACAATATCGTTGTGGCAGGTATCGCATTCGGCGGTAGTTTGCATATGCCCTGGAGGTAATCCCTCCGCATACCCACCGTTGTGACAACCCAGACAATTGCCAACCACTTCAGCATGATCCACTTCAACAATGGCGGTCCAGTCTGCGGTGATATGGCAACTTTCACAGAACTCTGTTGTTGGCATGTGGGTAGGAGTGAGTCCGGTATCGGCCAGCACCCCGCTGCCATCGTGACAGGCCTGACACTCCCGCGGCGTGCCCTGAAAGCGGCCCGCCTGGTGGCACGATGCACAATCTACAAACTGATGTGCGCCATCTAGATCGAAACCATGCTGGAAATGATCGTAAGCCTCTGTCGCTGCAGCCACATAGCTCGCAGAGAACAGCAGCGACACCAGCACAAGAACCGCCGATAGATGCTTGTTAGATCTCATCAGCGGATCCTCGCAGTATCATCAAAACTTTCCGTTGAATGGCAGCGCTGGCAGTCATTACCAAATTGTCCCGCGTGGATATCATCCGCCAGGTGACAGCTGACACAATCCGTTGAGGTGTTTTCCGCAAGCCCCAGATCCGGGTTGTGGCACGAGGCGCAGAGCAGATCAGAATGCGAACCAGAGAGCACAAAGACGGTCTGTTTGTCATGATCAAACTGCCATAACTCCCAGCCGCCAGGGGTATGACAGTCGCTGCAGCTTTCACCGAAGCTCCCTTCATGTTTATCGTCATCCAGATGGCAATCTGCGCAGGCCTGAGTGGCGGTATTGAACACCTGTGAGTCATGGCACTGGTCACAACTTGCAAGCTGATGCAGGCCGACCAGCGGAAAACTGGTGAATTCATGATCGAAGCGAATGTCTTCTCGCCAGGCCTTTACAGAGTGGCAGCTGTCACAGGCCCCCAGGGTTTCTTCGTGTGGGTCATCTTCGGTATGACACCCTTCGCAACTGGTGGATAGAGGGGCCTCCAGGCTTTCGGTATGGCAGGCATCACATGTCAATTCCATATGACTACCGACGAGGGCAAAACCAGTTTCGTCAGCGTGATCAAATTCGACTGTCCAGGCATTGGAAGTATGACATTCTCCACACTCCGCACCCCGTTTGCCCTGATGTACATCATCCGCGCTGTGGCACCCTACGCAGGTGGTGGGTGGCTCGGGTAAAGACATCGCAGTTAAGTGACAGCTGGCGCACTCTAATTTGCTGTGCGCCCCCACCAGCTCAAAGTCTGTTTCCTGAGCGTGATCAAATTCACTGGTTTGCCAATCGGCAGGCGTATGGCACTGCTCACATTCGCTACCCCGGGTGCCGTTATGAACATCATCAAGCTTGTGACAATCAACGCAGCCATCGGGTGTATCTTCAAAATGGTTATCCACATGGCAACTGCTGCAGGACTGGTCTTTATGCTCGCCTACCAGGACAAAATCTGTCGCAGTATCGTGTTCAAAAGTGACCTCAGACCATCCGGCAGGGGTGTGGCAATCTGCGCAGGTTTCGCCTAGTCCGCCGTCATGCCGATCGCCCTCACGATGACAGTCAATACACTCGTCGGCGGTTCCCCGGAAGGGCTCGTCAGGTGTGTGGCAACTGCCGCAGGCGGCGTTTGCATGCGCATCTACAAGTTCAAATTCGGTCAGATCATGATCAAACGTTTCTGGAATCAACCCGGTGATGTCTTTATCACGGCCTTGATGATCCGTATGACAGCTGCGACAGGCCAGCTCATCAACCGCAGGGTTTCTGCCATGGAACTGTTCCTGGCGGGTTATATCAGTGGCAATGTCTTCGTGACAATCAAGACACAGTGCAGATTGCCTGCTTTGATCAAAGTTCTCGTGGCAGGACTCACACTCACTTTCGAATTCTGCATGCAGCTCGGTCAAGGGTCCCGGACTGATCAACGATTCAAAACTGGCACCCAGCGCTGGATGCATGTGCAGCAGCATCAGCACTGCGGCCCAACGTAAAAAGGGTAATGGCTTAACAGGTACTGGCAAAACTAAGCCGCTGTATCATACAAACGCCATTTTTTAGTACATGTGTACCGCGACAACGTGAACGATCGCTGCAAGCACTAGCAGCAGGAAAAGAGGATAGTGCACTATATGCCACAGTGAGAACAGGCTTTCAAAGGCGCGGTATTGCGCAAACTTCCTTAACAGCAATGTTCTCGTACGCAAATAGTTTTTCAGATTCTGTTGCAGACGATGCTGATGTTCACCAACAACTAACGACTCATTTGAGGCTGATTCAAGCACCGCCATGGCTTGGGCCTTGAGCTGTCGATACTTAAGCCTTGATGTCACAGCGACAGTAGTCGCTACCCAGAAAGCACTGAAGAAATTCTGCTCTTGTTGCAGAATGCTGTCTTCCCACTGATTCAGCTCTTCATTGATCGATGGCACCAGCTTGGCAATGCCTGTTCCGCTGCCTCTCAACTCCGATAGATCAGCACGCAGGTTCACCAGGGAAGCACGGCGTCCATAAAGTCCGTAATGCAGCTTGGAGTAGAAATAGCGGCCAACAATGCCACTGGACGCCACAATGATCATACAGAAAAGCGCAACCCGGCTGTTCAGCGAACCCAGCTCAAAGTTGCTGTGAAAGATGATCAGCAATGGTCCGACGATGCCCAGAATCATGTGCAGCTTAAACCAGTAGCGTACCGGGCCGGCGTTACGCATGGACTTGGCACGTTTACGCGCAGGATAGAACAGCAGCAGCAGCATCGCCACGCTGCCAATAATACCCAGCCAATAGCCCAACCCTTCCTGCGCACGGATCAGATCAAGGTCAGCATTGAGCCAACCTAAAATAATCAGCACGGCGACAAGACAGTATCCGAGCAGCGCAAGTAAGTTTTGTGAAACAGAATCAGAAATGTTGTTGGGATTAATGATCAGAGCCTTTCGATTGACCTGTTCAGTATAGCTAACGAGGCCACCACGTAATTGAGAAGCAATTCGCACATGAATGTATTTTAGGGAGGATAATCCCTTTCCTGAGCGTGCTGCAATTCACCCCCTGGATTTTATGTCTGAACAATTCATCACATTGAGCTACTACCTGGCGCCTGCGCTGATTGTTTACGCGCTGTACCTGTCAAAACACAAACGCAAGCAGCAGAAAAATCGCGCTGTGTTCCAAGAGGCCGTTGAAACCGGCATGACGTCACCGCCTTCACTGCATCCTGTCGTCGATAAGGCCCTGTGCATAGGCTGCGAGGCCTGCGTACATGCGTGCCCGGAATTCCCCGCACATGACGTTCTGGGTGTGATCAAAGGCAAAGCCAACCTGATATCACCCACCGACTGCATTGGCCATGGCGCGTGTAAAACCGCCTGCCCCGTCGGTGCAATATCGCTGGTGTTCGGCACCAGCGAGCGCGGTGTGGATATACCCAACATTTCACCGGAATTTGAAACAAACATTCCCGGCATCTACATTGCAGGCGAGCTGGGTGGAATGGGACTCATTCGCAACGCCGTGGAACAAGGCCGTCAGGCGCTGGAATACCTGACCGCACGCAAGCGAAAGCTTGAAGGCGGCCTCGACGTCGCGATCATCGGCGCTGGCCCGGCAGGTTTTGCCGCAACCCTGGCCGCCCACGAAAAGGGTTTAAAGTATGTCACCCTCGAACAGGACGCTTTAGGCGGCACGGTAGCGAACTTTCCCCGCGGCAAGCTGGTCATGACCGCCCCTGTAGAATTACCGTTGTATGGACAAATGCGCTTCCGGGAGACTCAAAAAGAAGACCTGATTAATTTCTGGCACAAAGTTGAAGAGCAGACAGGCATCAATATTCACTATTCAGAGAAACTGGAAAACATTGAAACGCTGGACAACGGTTTTCTGGTCACCACCACTAAAAACAGCTACAGAGTAGCCTCGGTTTTACTGGCACTGGGGCGTCGTGGTTCGCCCCGCAAGCTGGACGTACCTGGCGAGGAACTGCCTAAAGTCACCTACAGCATGATTGATCCGGCCGAGTATGCGGGTAAACGTGTTTGTGTTGTTGGCGGCGGTGACAGCGCCCTTGAGGCCGCTTGCGCGATAGCAGCAGAACCTGGCAGTCAGGTGCTCTTGTCGTATCGTTCCGGCGCATTCTCCCGCGCCAAACGCAAGAATCGTGAACACGTTGAGCGGCTCGTGAACGACAACACCATACGTGTTGAACTGAACAGTCAGGTGACTGAGATAGCACAAGACAACCTTACCTTGAGCTACGAACACGATGGCAAGGGGGTCACCGAATCTATCGGCAATGATGCCGTCATCATCTGCGTGGGCGGCATTCTGCCAACGGGTTTCCTGAAAGAAGTTGGCATTACCGTGGAGACTAAATTTGGTACCGCTTGAACAAATACGAGGCAGCGGTTCCATCACGAGGATTGTCATGGCGCTGATCCTGACCTGGGCTTCAGCTGGCCACGCCGATACGTCTGCAGACGTCAAACAGATGCTCAGATTAGGAGACTACGAGCGCGCGGCGCAGATACTGCAGAATAACAGCGAAGACCCGCAAAACGTCTATCAGCTGGCACAGATCTACCAACAGGAATTGCTTAGACCACCCGCCAAAGATTCAGCGTTTCAGCTGTTCAAACAGGCCTCTGATGCAGACCATGTGCAAGCCACTTACCAACTTGCAAAGCACTTTGAACGCGGCGACGGCGTACCTCAAGACCTGGCCAGAGCCCGGGCCACCTATCAAAAGGCAATGGATCTGGGTCATCCAAAAGCCCACCAGGCCATGTCCCGTATAGCTGACTCAGTTGCGGCGCCCACTTTATCCGTAGATGATGCCTTGAGTAGTTGCGATGAAACCGTAATTACAACTGCGCTCGCAAGCAGCGGCTCGTTTGAGCAGAACTGGCTGTTCCGCGCCATTGATTGCAATGGCAGCACCTCACTCTACACCGCCCTTATAGATGCGGGCGCAAACCCGAACGCCCGGGACAAGCACAACAATCTTGTTTTACATCGTGCAGTGGCGCGGGAAGCCGTTGCTGCGGCTATTGTGCTAAAAAATGCCGGTGCGGATACAAAACAGAAGAACGACCAGGGCTGGTCTGCCGCCATGCTGGCCGAGCGCTCCGACAATCCCAGGTTACGCAAAGCATTTAACAATGCTAACAAACAACCTGACACAACCATCAGCACCGATTTGTCTGTTGCAAGCCGCGAGGCACGGTTCAAAGGATGGTCATCCCTGCACATTGTTGCGTGGCGGGGTGACATCAGACTTGCAGAGAAGTTAATCGCCGACGGCGCTGATGTTAAACAAGTTGATACTACTGGCGTTACTGCGCTAACCAGAGCTTTGCAGAATGGCCATGCCGATATGGCAAGCCTGTTACTGGAAAACGGCGCCGTGTTCTCAGAAGCAGACTTCGAATTTATCAGCGCAATAGAAAATCCGCGCCTGATCCGCAGCATGGCGACCGCTGCAGACGCAACCAGGGCAGCGTTTGTCTGCCACAGCCTCAACCAAGGTGAAAACCAGATACTGGCTCTGTTACCTGCAGACACCATTGCCAGTGTGAATCTATGTGGTGATAAACCCGCGCTTGTCTTGGCTGCTCGAAATGGCGATAAGCAAACTGTTTCCCATCTGTTAAACAACAAACCAGACGTTGAAGCCACAGACCCGCTGGGCTGCACCGCACTTTGCTGGGCAGTTAAAGCCGAACAGGATGGCGTTGTCCCTCTGCTCATCTCGCATGGGGCAAGCAATACACCCGATCAGCATGGCGTCACACCGCTGATGTGGGCTGCTCGAACCGGCAACCTGCAGGCAACCCAGCTGCTGCTGTCACATGATCTGGATGTGAATCAACAAAGCAGTTCTGGCTCTCACCCATTGCTGCTGGCGGCGACCGCAGGCCACACTACAATTGTTGAATGTCTGCTCGATCGCGGCGCCGACATCGACCTGAAAAACTCGCGGGGTGACACAGCTCTGATCGCTTCAGTACAAGCAGATCATTATGAAACAGCTAAACTTCTCATTGGCAAAGGTGCAAGCACCCGTGCGAAGAACGCTATGTTTGTCAGCGCACGCGAATTACTGGCGTCTAAAGAGGGGCGTTGGCAACAACTTGTAGAAGAAAAACCCAGCTTCTGGAGTCTGATCAATTGAATATAAGAAAATTTGCCACATTCCCGGTTATCTGCCTGGCGATGTTTGTCTCTGGCTGCAGCCAACCTGCTGAGCCGGTGGATCGTCAGAGTGTTACCGGTATGCCTTCCGACCCCGAATCAACTTTGTTGGCTCGCGTAGAAATATCCGGCGAGGCCACCAGCTTCCCTGCCGAGGCCAAAGTGTTTGTGTTTATCCGCGAAAAAGGCAAAACCATGCCGCTCGCGGTAGAACAGTTTGCACCCCAGGATCTGCCTGTTCAGGTGGGCTTTTCAAAACCTGAAGCGTCGATCACCACCATTGAAGCCATTGCCCGCCTCTCCATGACCGGCGCCGTCATGAAACACCCCAATGACCCGGAAGTGATCAGTGAACCTCTGAGCACACAAAACTATGCCCGCACCATTCGTCTGGTTATCCCCCAGAACGCGCTGGCGGACGCAGGCCCGAACGACGCTGCGGTGCGAGTGGCGGTAACAATTCCGCCGCAGGTGCAAACCAGCCCGACCGCAAGATTGTTTGTGATTGCCAAGATGGAAGACGGCTTGAACCCGATGCCCGTGGCGGTGAAGGCTTACAATATTGACGACATACCGGAAGAAATTGTGCTCACCGACCGCGATTCAATGATGTCTGTTGCACGTTTAAGCCGCAACAAGGCGGTCCAGGTGACGGTCCGACTGTCTCAATCAGGGACCACTAAACAACAGGCTGGCGACTGGGAGAGCCAACCACAACTCATTGCCACTAAAGATGCCGGACTTAACAGATTCGAGCTGACTGAAGAGGTTAAATAGCTGTGCAGTTCCGACAATTTGTGACCGAGATCACTTAATTGCATTGATCAGGAGGCGGATACTCAGAGATCTGCACTGATGCATCGGCTACCCGGGTCCCGCGCGTGAACACATGTTCCTTCATCATCTAAAACAACAGAGCATCGCCATTGCGCTGCTGTTGGCATTGGCACTTGGCGGTTGCTCACAGGGCTCCAGCGACAGTACACCCACAAGACAGCTTCCCGCTAATGGCACAGATGCCATAGCCGACGTTGTTGCGAGAACCGGGCCCATCGTCACCGTCAGAACCGGTGAAATGGTGACCTTTGATGGCAGCAAGTCTTATTCATCCTCTTCAAACCCGCTGTCTTATCAGTGGACACTGCTGTCTCAACCAGCCGGCAGCACAGCAGCATTTCAAGATGCCAGAGTCGAAAGTCCCAGTTTCATGGCTGATGCACAGGGCACCTACGTTGCTGGGCTAGTGGTCAGTGCGGAAGGCATTAACAGTAGCCGGGCAATATCACTTGCGACGGCAAGCACACCCCCAGAACAACCGGGCTTTCACGATGGACTGTCTGCCGATTGTGCAAACTGCCACGAAGGCAATGAGCAAGGTATTCCAGTAAAACCCGCCAACCACATTGCGACAACACAGGTATGTGCAACCTGTCATGCCGCGACGTCGACCGGATTTTCAACGCTGCACAAGGTTGATCACAGCGAAGTGTTTGGCGCATGCAGCGAATGCCACAATGGCACTCTCGCGATCGGTAAATCTGATACACATATACCCACCAATGGTGAATGTGATGATTGCCACACAACCAGCAGTTTCCTGGACATCGGCGCAAACGGCGGTTTCGATCACACAGGCATCACCAGCGGTTGTACGGATTGTCACAACGGCAGCATCTCTACAGGCAAAACCCCGACACCCCCTCACCCGGATACCGGTGCAGAATGTATATCCTGCCATACCACTGACAGTTTTCTGAATGCATACCCCGACCACACCAGCGCTGCCGTGCTGGATGAGCGATGTGATTCCTGCCACGGCATCTCAGCGACGGGACCGACCATTGGACATCCAGATACATCTGTTGATTGTGGCTCTTGCCATGGGGTTGCCACCTTCAGCCTGAATGGCGTGTTTAACCACCGAATCGACCCGGCACTACAATCCTGCGATTCGTGCCACACCGACACCAATTCTATCAACGCACCCGGCAAAGGCGCCGCTATACCCAGCCATATTGCGACCAGCGAAGACTGCGGCAGTTGCCATAACACAACCGACTTTGCTGATGCGTTTGTCGACCATACCGGGATTGTCGACAACTGTGCTTCCTGCCACGGCGTCACCGCGAGCGGCAAACCAGCCAACCACATGCCCACGCTGGAAGATTGCAGTGCCTGCCACACGCCGGGCACATTTGCGACAGGCGTGTTTGATCATCTGAATGTGGTCGACACCTGCGAAACCTGCCACAACAACACAATCACGCTGGGCAAACTGGCTGACCATCTACCCACCAGTGAAGATTGCTCCGCCTGCCACACAACGGCCACATTCACCGGCGCAACGTTCGATCATGCCGGCATAGACACCAGCAACTGTTCTGCCTGCCACGATGGCAACATCAGCCTCGGCAAACACACTGACCATATTCCTACATCGCTGGATTGCTCAGCCTGCCACTCGACCAACAATTTCACGACCTTTGCGGGCATTACATTTGGACATGAAGGCATTGACCCAAATAATTGCGCAAGCTGCCACAGTAACGGTCTAGCCACGCCAAAGATCGACAATCACATTCCGACCCAGCAGGATTGCAGCAGCTGCCACGACTCAACCAGTATGTTTGTGTCAAATACATTCCTGGTGACGCAGCACCAGGACATTACCCGAGGTTGCGAAGGCTGCCACACAGGGCAGTTTTTCCCCGACGACGCCGGCCTGTTTAAAGCAGCAGATCACCTGCCCACAAGCCAGGACTGTGCCCTATGCCACACCAATACAACGTTTACCAATTCGATTTTCAGCCACGAGGACATCTCCGGCAACTGCGCGTCCTGCCACAATGGCACCAGTAACTTTGTTGCCCTCGGCGCACTGGGCAAAACATCTACCCCGGTACACAACACCACCACACTGGACTGCTCCGCCTGTCACAACACCACAAATTTCGCGGATGCTTTTGTTGATCACACCAGCCCGGCCGTTTTGTCAGCGACGTGCGAATCGTGCCATAACGGCATAGACGCCACCGGTAAAGACGCCAAAGTTAACCCCGCCCACGTGATCACGGATCAGGATTGCAATGTTTGCCACACAGCGGGCGGCGCGTTTGCCCCTGCCATTTTTGATCACACCGGCATTAACAACAATTGCGCTTCATGCCACAACAATGTGGACGCCATCGGCAAGGCCGCAAAAACGAATCCTGAGCATATACCCACGAATGACGATTGTTCAGTCTGTCACGTCACGACATCATTTGCGCAAGCAAACTTTGACCATCAGGGCATTGTTGGGGATTGTGTCTCCTGCCACAACGGCACCACAGCTATCGGCAAAATGAGCAATCATGTACCCACCAACGCCGATTGTGTGGAGTGTCACCAGACCACAGGCTTTGTACCCGCAACGTTTGATCATATCGGCATCGTAGATAATTGTTCATCCTGTCATGATGCAGGTTACGCCACAGCAAAAAGCTCAACGCACCTGGCCACCACTCAGGATTGCAGCGTCTGCCACACTACCCGTGCCTTCACGCCAGCCAATTTTGATCACACCGGCATCGTCGATAATTGTGTCTCCTGCCACAACGGCACAACCGCTATCGGCACGGAGGCGAAAACCAACCCCGACCATATCGCCACTAGTTTAGATTGTTATGCCTGCCACACAACGGCTACATTTGCTGGTGGCTCCTGGACCCACGATGCAACCAGCGACGGGCGTTGCAGTGACTGCCACAGCGATGGTGGTGGCGCGACGTTCAAACCGGTTGACCATCTGCAAACCGACGTGCAGTGTGATACATGCCATGTCACCACAGGCTGGGCGCCTACCAACTTCAGCCATGATCCCCAGGGCAACTACCCTGGCGATCATCGCCGCGACCCCGGATGCACAGGCTGTCACGGCCCCAGTGTGAACGCTGTGTTTACGTATCCGTCAGAGCGATACGCACCCTTCTGCGCAGGTTGTCATGAGCGCGACTTCGAACGTAAAGGGGATCATATTGGCGGTGAAAACGGCACCGTCGAGCAGAATAAAGATTGCAGCAATGGCGGACGCGGCTGCCATAGAGTGTCGGATCGAAACTTTGACTAGCTGGAAGGCTTCCATTCCGGTTCAGGCGTTCCCGCAAGCAGATGCCGAACCATCTGCACAGAGACCGGCTGGTCCCAGGCCCTCGCCCCATAAACTTTTTTTACTACCTGCCCTTGCCTGTTAACAAGCACGGTAAGGGGTATGCGGGTTGCGCCAAGCATCTTTTCCAGGCGCAAATCCTCGTCGATGAAATGCGGAATAGTTGAGCTGATAGAACTGAGATAGTCTTCAGCACGTTGCCTGGAATCATCTGTAGAAATACCAATGATGACCACATCACCAATATCATCCATCCAGGCCAGACGCTCTAACGAAGCCATCTCGGCTCTACATGGCGAACACCAGCTTGCCCAGACATTAATGATCAAAGGTCTGCCGGCAAAATCAGCCATCTCTCTTGAAACGCCACTGAGACCGCGTAAATAGGCATTAGGCAGGTGTTCACCTTCCCGCACTTCGCTGGCTGAGTTCAGTTCTTTGACTTGAGCTGCATACCCCACAGCACTGAAGATCATGCAGATGCATAAAGAGATGAAGGTCAACTTTTTCAGCACGACACTCTGACCCGAGCACATCTTCTGTTAAGACGGCTGATCGCTGGATTCCACGATATCAATATCAGGCACAGGCACCGTCTCAATTTCGTACAGTCGGTCATCCTCAATATTACTTTCATGATTGGCAATCTCCGACTCAACAGCGCGGGCTGCTTCAAACCGGGCGATATGAAACAGGGCTTCACCCTCATTGACCAGCGGCAGGTTATTCACGCAAATAATAATGCCATCCGCTTCGGCCTGTAAGACCTCCTCCTGAGAGGAAAATGGTGCCGAAATAACCCCTAACGACGCGCCTTTCCTGACACGTGCGCCCAGTTGCACAAGGGGCCTGAACATGCCGTCCATAGACGCTCTCACCCACTTCGACGAACGCGCAATGTAAGGTTCAGCACGAACCGTTTGAATGCGCCGACTTGGCAGCATCTTCAGTGAACGCATCACGCTGACAATGCCACGCACGCCGGTGACGATAGCGCGTTCATTCAGCCGCAGTGCTTCACCTGCTTCGTAGGTGATGATGGGAATGCCTAACTTGCCTGCCTCACAGCGCAGGCTGTTTTCGATAAGACCGGAATTGATGATCACAGGAATAGAAAAACCCATGGCCATTTCCGGCACACCTGGCTCATCCAGCGCGGCTCGAATCTGAGGCAGGTTGTCTCGATTTACAGCCGCCGTATGCAGATCGATGATATGTGTACACCGCTTAACTATATTGTCAAAGAAAACATGTGCCACACGTGAGGCAATACTGCCTCTTTCGCTGCCGGGAAATGAGCGATTCAAATCTCGTCGATCCGGCAGATACCGCGATTGATGGATGAAGCCGAACAGATTCACAACAGGTATGAGGATCAACGTGCCATGCAGCCGATTCAGCGAGCGAAAGCTGCGCATGCGACGGATGACTTCCACCCCATTGAGCTCATCACCGTGAATTGCGGCACAAATCAGTAAGACGGGGCCAACGTAGCGCCCGTGTATAATTTCCACAGGCATATTCAGCGGCGTATGGGTATAGAGCCTTGCGGTCGGCAGGTCGAACTGAACACGCTCACCGGGTTGTACAACCTGACCCGCAATCTCTATAGGCCTGGCCTTTATGCGCCTGCTTTGCTCTTTCGGCGGCGACTCCGTCGAGCCAGCGGTCAAGATTCATCGCTCCTGGCTTCGGAGGCTCTCTCGATCGCTTCCGGGGCCAGATCCTGAATCTTGGGACGCCTGCGTCTTTGTGTTTTCTTCGGAATCATGCCGCGCATTGATTCCAACTTGCCAAAACAAAGCAGTTTATCGAGCGGTTCAAGCACGCGGTCCGAGCGCGGATTCGGTATGACCCTAGTACCTCGGTACAACGTTAAAACATTGATGTCTTTTTCAGCAAGGTTGCTCTCTTTAATGGTCATGCCGACAAAATCTGATCCGTCAGGTACGTAGATTTCACTCACCCCGTAACCTTTGCTGACCGTTAACCTCTGGCGTATGTCAATTTCCGGGAAGTCTACCTGCGCGGAGATGTAATCGATGACCGCACCAGCGACATCCAGACCTGTACAGGTTTCGATACCTTCCAGGCCCGGCGAGGAATTCACTTCCATGATCTGCGGACCCGTGGCGCCTTCCAACATGTCGACGCCAGCAACGCGCAAGCCAAGGATTTGCGCCGACCTGACCGCTGTTTCTTTATACACATCGTCCAGTTCAACTGCCTCAGCGACACCGCCACGGTGCACGTTACTGCGAAACTCCTGACCTTGCGCAACACGTCGCATGGCTGCCACCACGCGATCGCCCACAACAAAGGCGCGTATGTCTTTGCCTTTACTCTCGGCTACAAACTTCTGCACAAGCACGTTCTGTTTCTGGCTTTGCAACAGCTCAATGATGGATTCTGCTGCCTGCATGGTTTCAGCTAACAACACACCGATACCCTGCGTACCTTCGATCAACTTGATGACCACCGGCGCACCACCCACGCGCTCAATCGCAGGAATCACATCTTTTTTGTCACGTACAAAAGTTGTGCGGGGAATACCAATATGGTGGCGGCTCAGAATCTGCAAACTGCGCAATTTATCCCTTGAGTTGATAATGCCGTGGGCAGTATTGGCGCAGAATACGTCCATCTCCTGAAACTGACGCACAACCGCTGTGCCATAGTAGGTAATCGACGCGCCGATTCTCGGTAGAACTGCGTCATAAGCGTTGAGCGCCTTCTGGCGATAGTAAAGGTCTGGGCTGCCTTGTTGCAGATCAATTGCAAACTTGAGGGTATTCAGAACTCTAACGTCGTGGTCACGTTGCAGCGCCGCCTCTTTCAGGCGTCGGGTGCTGTAAGAATTTGGACCACGGGACAGTATTGCTAATTTCACTGCAATTTCACTCCTGAATAATCGAGTTTTTATTGGGCAACGGGCGGACAGGAGTTGCGAAGAGTCTACACCTCAGCGTGGAACTTCTTCGCAACTCATTGTGGCTATGAGATATCGGTCATTCTGCCGCCGCAGGTATCCCTAACGCCTTTAAACTGGTGACCAGGTCAGCGCCAGCGGTTGCCGGATTGGTGTCTTTATCTATTCTGATGATGATGCCTTCTGGATCAATATAGTAGGTCCAGCGCTGGGCAAAGCCTGCTGCGTGTAACACACCATACGACTGGGACATGGTCTTGGTGACGTCAGCCAGAATCGGAAAGTTGGCATTATTTTTCTGAGCAAAACCGGTATTGTCTTCGAGAGAATCGACGCTGGCCATGAAATAGGCAATGTCGAACTTTGTAATTTCTTTGGCACTGTCACGCAGCGCTTTACATTGGATGGTTCAGCCGCCGGTATAGGCTTTGGGGAAAAAGGCGATGACAACATGTTTGCCACGCAGATCTGAAAGCGTGTGGTAACCACCATCGCTGCCGGGCAGCGTGAAATCAGGGGCCATGTCACCAACCTGAGGTGCGGCAGCAGCGCTACCGGCAAAAAGCACAGCGGCAACAAACAGCAGGGTGCGCTTCATTTTCATGAAATTCTCCAGTGATCTAAATCAAAGACAAGACCCTACCGCGCGGCGGCAGCGCAGCGCAATCGATTTGCACAATTGACCTACAGATCAGATTGACCCTTACTCTGCACGACGCAAACCAGAAACCGGATCCATATGAGCACTGCAATACCACTCCTGGCATTGGGGTTCAGGTTGTTCTATCTGCTGGCAGGCGCATTTGCACTGGCGGGCATTCCCGTTTGGATCGTGGCGTATCAGGGTCTGCTACCCGTTAACGGCTATCTGAACAGTCTTGCCTGGCATCAGCATGAAATGCTGTTTGGGTTCGCACCAGCAGTTATGGCAGGTTTCCTGTTAACAGCGGTGCGTAACTGGACTGGCCTTGCTACCCCAACCGGAGCTGGCCTCGCGGCACTCGGGTGTCTGTGGCTGGCAGGCCGCGTTACGGCCTTCACAGGACCCGCGGCACCCGCCGTGCTGCTCGATTTGGCGTTCCTGCCAACACTCGCCATTATTCTTGCGATACCGATCGTGCGCAGCAGGAACTTCAGAAACTTAAACCTGTTGTTGGTTCTGGCAGCCCTGGGCAGCGCCAACACAATGTATCACCTGGCTTACGCCGGCCTTTTACCGACACAATGTCTAGCGGTAGCCATTAACGTTGCAATAGACATTATTGTCATTCTGATGGCCATTATGGGCGGCCGGGTAATCCCTGCATTTACCGCAAACGCAGTCCCAAGCGCGAAACCCCGCCCCTCGGCCGCTGTCGAAACTGTCGCGATCGGCAGTTTGTTGCTGGTGTTATGCGGCGACCTTGTGGCACTGCTGTACACACTCCCACCCGTCGTCTGGTTCGCATTGTTCTTCATCGCAGCTATCGCCCACGGCATTCGTTTGTGGCGCTGGGATGCACACCCTGGTTATCGCAATGCCTTATTGATCATGCTGCCCATCGCTTACCTCTGGATTCCTGTGGCTTTGGGTTTGCGCGCGCTGGCGGCACTTGCACTGGTGCCACTTTCCGCAGCCATCCACGCGCTGACCATCGGCGCGATGACCAGCCTCATGCTGGCAATGATGATGCGCAGTGCACTTGGGCACACCGGCAGAATCCTGGTGGCAGGGCCCATTGAGATAGCGGTCTTTGCCTTGCTGCAACTGGCAGCCGTTGTGCGGGTAGTGGCCACACTTCTGGCGCCTGCCCACTACAGCAGTCTGGTTACGGCTTCCGGCACATTGTGGGCACTGGCCTTTATACTGTTCCTGTGGCGCTATGGACCGATGCTCATGCGGGCGCGTATCGACGGCAAACCAGGTTGAATGAGGCCTTCGACTTATACGGGTGCTTTGCGCTCTAACCGCGGCTCCCTTGGCGACGGCAAAGACTTTGCCAGCAAGGACAACAGTTCCGCCTTCTTGTGACGACTATCGGGATCATCCCAAAGGTTAACCAATTGCCCCGGATCATCGTTCATATTGTAAAGCTCTCCTTCGCTGCCCTCATACAAATGACTAGGTCCATAGGCTGTACACAACCAACCGGAGTGCTCGTAGACACTCTTCAAATGCATATCTATCGGACCATGTTCTGAATCCCACTCAGTGATCACATGGGTACGTTGCTGCTGAACCGCCTGCGCCTGAGAGACGGGCAACACCTGCCCTTCACAAAAGGAAGGCACAGCAATACCAGCAATGTCACAGAAGGTACTGGCCAGATCCAGATGCCCTACCGGTGCCGCAACTTCTGCAGGAGCAATGTTGGCAACCTTCGCGGGTTTCCAGATCATCGGCACCCGCATTAACGCATCCACATGATATGGGCCTTTAAACAGCAGACCGAAGTCACCCTGGAGTTCTCCGTGATCGGTGGTGAAGAAGATATCCGTATTATCCAGCTGTCCCGTGCCTTCGAGGTACTTAAAAACCCGTTGGCAGGCGTCGTCGATCAACTCGTTTTCGATATGGGTCATGGCATTGATTTCACGCAGCTGATCCGCTGTCATTTCTGCTGGCACAAATTCTCGTGGCGATTCAAGATTGGTCCACAGCGTGCCCTCAAAATAGCCTCGCCAGTGTTTGGGTTTCTGATCCAGCAGCGCTTCCAGTTCTTCACGGTTCTCTCGATAAAGTGCGGGCAGCGGCACATCACGCCAGTTCACGCGATGTAACTCTGACGCCGGCACGTCCCAGGGGTGATGGGGATCAGGAAAACTCATCCAGCAGAAAAACGGGTCTGCCTGAACACCTGCGTGGTTGAGACTCGACAGCCAGGTGATGGTTCGCTCTGCGACCCAGTCTGTATGGTAAAGAGCACGCGGCACATCAACAGGCCAGACCTGAACCGCACCGGTGTCTCCTTTCCCCGCTGTGTTCTGGCCTTTATCCGTTATCATGGGATAGAACTTTTCTTTTTCAGCTTTATGTTGATTCATCCACAGATCATAGTGGCTGTGCCCCTCGAAAAAATGGTTAGCTAACTCCATATGCTCGAAGCCCCGGTGTGGTCCGGTGTTGTTTTCCGCCGCCATACGGTTTTCGAAGAATTCGGCAGGGCTGCCTAACCAGGGCTCGAAATGGGCTTTACCAAGCAGACCCGTACGATAGCCATTGTTCTGCAGGTGATGCGCTATGGTCGGTTGGTCTTCGGGCAATGACACACCATTCATCCAGACACCATGGGAAGCGACATGCTGACCGGTCATCATGGTCGCACGTGCCGGCATACAGCCCACATTCTGATTATGCGCGCGCCGGTAGTTAATGCCGGAGGCCGCCAGTTCGTCAATCGACGGCGTCCGCGCGATCTGTCCGCCGTTACACCCGAGCGCGTCGTAACGCATCTGGTCTGTGGTAATGAACAATATGTTTCGCTTCATTCGGCTTCACCTGCGGTAAGAGGCACATATGATAACGCGCAAACACGAATATCGCTGCTCAACGCGACTTTAAACTGAGCCAGAAAACGAGACATAATGAAAAACTGAGTCGGCGTACGAAAGGAACTTGAACATGACTTTTCCCAGACCTGCATTGCCTAAGTTTGGTGTTTTAATCTTCTCCATGTTCTTTGCAGGCCAGGCCTCAGCTTACGAGCAGATTCTTGCTGAGACGGCCAGCTCACTTGTACCCGGCCCGGTGGAATATGCGGTTATTGCACCAGAAGGTTTTCGGAAGATGCAGGACCTGCCGATTGTTCTCAACCTGCACGGTGGTGGCGGCAACCGAAAGGGCTTATTGCGTCAGGCAGAGCAATGGGATGAACTGTGGAAAAGTGGTGCTATTCCACCGGCTATTGTGGTGATGCCGTCGGTCACTGCCCGTGGTTTCTACATGAACTTCAAAGATGGCAGCGAGCGCTGGGAAGATTTCATTATCGGGCCGTTTCTCGAACACCTGCGCAAATCCTATCCCGTAACAAGCCAGCCTCAGCGAACTTTTATTACCGGTATCTCTATGGGCGGTATGGGTGCACTGCGTATCGCTTTTAAACACCCGGATCAATTTGGCGCGGTAGCGGCTCTGGAACCTGGTATTGAGCCGATACTGGCGTATTCAGACATGCTGCCTAAACATCGCTTCTGGCGCGGCGATGAGTTATTCGAAGTGGCTTTCGGTAAACCTGTAGACGAAAACTACTGGGCCGCCAACAACCCGGCAACTATTGCCAACACTCGGGCTCAAAGGATTCGAGACTCGGGCCTGCAGATTTATCTGGAAGCCGGTGATGAAGACCAGTTCTGGCTTTATGAAGGTGCGGAGTTCTTACATCGCATTCTGTGGGATGCCCGTATCAGGCACGAATACCATCTTGTACGCGGCGCAGATCATGTTGGTCCCTCTATGCAGGAGCGCCTGGATGAAGGTATACGATTCCTCTTTCGCTATCACACGCCATGGCCTGAAACACGGCGTATGAAAGCCGTCGATCGCATGTTAGACCCGCTGAAAGCAAATACTGAAGGCCGCGATCACTATAACGAAACACCCCGTTAGCTCGCGCGCCGACCGTTGACAATACACATAATAACTGTATTGTTACAGTTATTAATTCGGTAAGGGTTCTTAATGGCCACCCCAGCACTTAACGTTCTCCCACAGACTGACGCCGTTGGTAAAGCGCTGTTACCGGCACTGTTCAACATATTTGGACACTGGGGGTTAACCGGCAAACAGCAAATGGTGCTTCTTGGCCTGACTAACGAGAAGACCTTATATAACTGGAAGAGCCAACCGGAAAAAGCCAAGCTCAGCAAAGATACATTAGAGCGTTGCAGCTATCTGCTGGGCATTTATAAATCACTGCAGATCCTGCTACCTGACCCTGAACTGGCAGACGCCTGGTTGACCACACCAAACGATCACGCTTTCTTTAATGCCACTACGCCACTTTCACGCATGCTGGCCGGTCAGGTTATCGATCTGGCTGAAGTGCGGCACTTTTTAGATGCCGAACGTTCCGGCTGGTAGTGCTTTTGCAAGACATCAAGCTACAAACTGTGGATCAGACAGTGATCCGCATCATTCCGGCACGCTTTCCACAAGTCGATCTTTTTGAGCGAGTCGCGTCACCTGAAGACTGGGACATTCTTTACGCCGTTGAGTCGCTGACCAACCCGCGCCTACGCGACGAGATAGGAGACATCGCTCTGGTCCCCCCTGGCGAGCGCGTCTACGGACCTGGTGCTTCCTGGATAATGGCCGCCTTCACCCATCGTCCCAAAGCAGGCCAGGGCGGGCGCTTCAACGCCAACTTTGGCACTTACTACTGCGCGCCCGACGAGGCCACAGCGATAGCGGAGACCACCTACCATCGCGCACGATTTCTACGCCAGGCACGTATCAAGCAGACGCGAATTGAGATGCGTGTGATCAGAGCTTATCTGGGACCAGCTGAACTGCA